GCGGAAGCGCTGCCGGAACGTCGAAGCGCACTCAAGCCGCAGAAACCCGAGTCGTTCGACCCAAGTCAACGCGACGCGAACGTGCGGACGTGGCTCTTCATGCTGAACAACTACTTCGCCGCGAGCGGGGTGCAAGAGGCGGACGCGCAGCAGCGGATCGAGTACGCTGTTACACTGCTGAGGGGCCCGGCCTTGGAGTGGTGGCGCCAACTCACTCAAACTGCTGTAAGAAGGGCTCAGACGGACGGGCATCAACAGGGCGTGGGGCATGCAGCTGCAACTTCGAGCTTAGGGAGTTTAGCTTTGGGTGTTACCACGGTTCCGACCACATGGGAAGGATTTGAAGCGGCGCTGAAAAGTAGGTTCGATTTGGTGAACGCCTCCGAAGCTGCTAGGAAGCGTCTGCGTCATTTCCGACAGATAGGCAACGTCCAGGAGTACACACGACGGTTCTTGAGCATCTGCAACGAGATAGGCGATATCACGGAAGCAGAGATGCGCGATCGCTACCTCGAAGGGTTGAAGCCGGACATAGCGGAAGTCATTGCGATTCACGGGTTGTCCACCTTCGAGTCGGTAGTCGCAGCAGCAGAACGCGTCGACGCAATACGAAGCCGACGGGGTCGTGACGATCGCGATAGGGGATACAACAGACCGATCAACGACGCTCGATCGAGGGACGGACCATCGCCCATGGAGATTGGTGCAGTTAACAGTGACGGCTCACAGAAAATGGGATTTAGGGGGAACTGTCACTACTGCAAAAAGCCGGGACACATGAAGCGAGACTGCCCACAGCTTAAGGAGCGGCAGCAGGGAAACGGAAACCGCCAGTAGATAGCGGGTCGCTAGCTGGTGTGGAGGTTCCCGTACCCGCCACGTCTATCAACGTAGAGGAGACGGCTTTGCAGCAGTCATCTACGGAGAACGAGGTAGACACTGTTGATCGTCCAGTCGTGCTTCTAGGGAAGCTTCGCGGAGTTCCTGTTAAGATTCTCGTAGATAGCGGAGCTAGCCACTCGTTCGTCTCTTCATCGTTAGTTTCTCGTCTCCATCTCGAAGCAGATTCAGCAGTCAACTTCAAGGACGCTCGCATGGTAGATGGGACGCCACTTCACATAGGACCGATCATCCGCAAGTTGCGCGTAGTGCTAGGACCGATCACAGTCAGGCGTGATTTCGACTCTGCGACGCTGGACGGATACGATTTTATCTTCGGGAGAGATTGGCTACGGACGGTTAGTACTCGGTTCGATTGGGCTCAGGGAAGCTGCAGCGTCAAGGTAGACGGGGAGTTCCGGGAGCTGCCACAGTGGAGCGATGGGGCCACATCATCCACAGCTATCATTAATGCTGTTCGTCTGCGACAGTTAGTGAAGCGTGCGGCACGGATCTTCGCGGTTTTTCTTGAGGAGGTGGAAGCTGAGGAGGGGAAAGGAGGGAGTGCAACAGTTAGTGAGAAGGCAACTCTTCCTGCTGAGGTGAGTGCACTGTTAGCAGAGTTCGCAGACGTCTTCCCCGACGAGTTGCCCCCAGGGTTGCCTCCCAGCCGAGCAGTAGACCATCGAATAGAATTGGAGCCGGGGAGCAGGCCAGTAGCGAAGCCGCAGTGGAGGTTGAGTCCAGCGGAGACAGAGGAGATGACGCAGCAAGTTAGGCACTTTCTCGCACAGGGTTTCATACAGCCATCTAGATCGCCTTGGGCCGCACCGATACTTTTCGCACCCAAGAAAGACGGAGGGTTACGGATGTGCATAGATTACCGCGCACTGAACGCCGCCACCGTCAAGAATAGATTCCCGGTGCCGAGAGTAGAGGATCTTCTCGATGCAGTGCAGGGCGCTAGAGTCTTCTCAAAGATCGACCTTCGTTCGGGTTACCACCAGATTCGAGTAGTTCCAGAGGACCAGCACAAGACGGCGTTTCGTACGAAGCAGGGGTTGTACGAGTTTAGGGTTCTACCGTTCGGATTGACCAACGCCCCAGCGACGTTTCAGACGCTCATGAACACAGTCCTCTCCGAGTTCCTAGGGTCGTTCGTTGTCGTTTACCTAGACGACATCCTAGTGTTCTCTAAGACAAAAGATGAGCACGTGCAGCACTTGCAGAAGGTCTTCGAGGTCTTACGGAGGGAGCAGTTATACGCTAAGCAGTCGAAGTGCGAGTTCTTCCTTCTAGAGGTCGAGTTCCTAGGACACGTCGTATCCGCTAGTGGCATTAGGACTGACCCGAAGAAGATCGCAGCAGTACAGGATTGGGTAGCACCGACCTCAGTCAAGGAGTTGCAGAGCTTCCTCGGTTTCGCGAACTACTACCGTCGTTTTGTTCAGGGTTACGCATCAATCGCTAGTCCACTCACCGACCTACTTCGGAAGGGCGTAGAGTACGTTTGGGGTCCAGCGCAGCAGCAGGCATTCAAGCAGATGAAGCAGTCGCTCACGTCTTCACCGACACTTTCGTACCCTGATCCCACTCGCCCATACATTGTAGTGACCGACGCTTCCGATCAGGCCATAGGAGCAGTGCTTCTTCAGGACCAGGGACGCGGGTTGCAGCCGATCGCGTACGAGTCGCGTAAGCTTAGGGGAGCGGAGTTGAACTATCCCATACACGACAAGGAGGCGCTCGCGATCATCCATGCGTATAAGGTGTGGAGATGCTACCTAGAGGGGGCAGATAGTGTTATACGCACGGACCACTGTTCGCTTCGTTTCCTCAAGTCGCAGCCGCAGCTGAGTCGTCGCCAGGCTAGGTGGATGGAGTTCATGGAAGGGAGCTTTCACTACAGGATAGAGTACAAGCCAGGCGTGCGCAACCCAGCAGATCCGCTCACTCGCCCTAGTTGTCAGCTCGCCAGTCTCACAGTCACTGCTGGCCACCCACTTCTCACAGCACTCTTCGAGCACGGTTACACAGTAGATCCCGACTTCACACCGCAGCCGCCCGCAGGAGCAGAGGTGCAGGGTAGTGTCTACATACGGAAGGGTACCACACGGATTTGGGTTCCAGCCTACCGCCCTCTTCGACAGCTCCTTCTCTTAGAGGCGCACGACGTAGTTAGTGCAGGGCACTTCGGAGCAGATAAGACGGCTAAGACGCTTAGTCGCACGTACTACTGGCCCGGGCTTGCAGCAGACGTAGAGGATTACATTCGCTCGTGCGACACGTGTCAGCGTACGAAGTCCTCTCGCCAGCGCAAAGCAGGACTCTTGCAGCCGATTCCACCGCCCGTTCGCCCTTGGCAGGTAGTTACCATGGACTTCATCATGGCTTTACCGCGCACAGTTAGGGGTCACGACGCCATCTTCATAGTAGTGGATAAGTTTTCTCGAGCAGCGCATTTCATCCCTACGCACGGCAAGGTCACAGCAGAGGAAGCCGCGACGCTGTTCGTAGATAACGTAGTCCGACTGCACGGGGTTCCAGATTCCATCATCTCAGACCGCGACCCTCGTTTCACTTCGAAGTTCTGGAAGCAGCTTTTCGCACTGTTTGGGACTCGCTTAGCCATGTCGTCTGCGTACCACCCAGAGACAGACGGACAGACCGAGCGTGCGAATCAGACCTTGGAGCAGATCCTTCGCAGCATCACGATGCACGACGCAGCCACATGGGACAAGAAGCTGAGCATGGCAGAGTTCGCCTACAACAATACGCACCACTCCGCCACAGGCATGTCACCGTTCTTTGCACTTTACGGTCAGCACCCCAATGTCCCCACTCGTGTCGATCTCACACCCACAGTCCCTCGTGCGGACAACTTCCACCAGCATCTCATCTTCATTCATGATCACGTGAGGAAGCACCTTGAGCTCGCAAATGCACGCATGGCACGCACCACCAACCGCAGTCGTCGTGAGGTGTCGTTCGCAGTCGGCGACCGTGTTCTCTTGGATAGCCGCAACCTCCGACTGCCACAGGACAGCAAGCTTCGTCCACGTTTCATTGGTCCATTCGTCATTGAGCGCGCACTAGGTCCAGTCGCATACCGCCTTCGCCTTCCCGCACATTTCCGCATGCACCCGTCATTCCACGTGTCTCTCCTTCGCCCATACACCGATCCCAATGCCACCTTCTCGGGCCGTGATCGCACTCCACTGCCGGTAGCTGTTGACACCGACGAGCCCGACTACCAGATCCAGCGCATCCTCAGGCACCGTCGCCGTCTCCAGGGGGGTGTCACTTTCATCGACTTCTTGGTTCGTTGGCGTGGTTACGACGCAGCAGACGACAGCTGGGTTCCTTCGTCCTCGCTGTCTCCTGACAACGCTTGCCTCCAAGCGTACCTTCAGTCTGCAGGCGCCGCGGACGTCGCCTCCTTGGGCGGGGGGTAGTGTTAGAGGGGTGTTTACTGTTCATTCCGAACAGTACATTCCTAGTCACCATTATCCTTATCTTCTCAGATTCTCTAGTGCCACGTGGCACTCTACTTTTCTTGCACTCCAATTCTTGGTCCCACATTCCACTTTCCAACCTTGTTTCTTGCATGCTATATAAACCTTGCTTGTACTTGCCATTATCAATCAATTATCATTCAACTCTTCTTCAATTACTCAGTAACTTCTTCGCCTATTTCGCCAATAGTTCTTTCGCCAAAGTCTTCCGCCGCGTTTCATCCTCGACTTAGTCGACCCCGCTAATTCTTTAGCGGACTTAGGCCGTCGGGCCTAACAGAAGCACTGTTTCATTCGTCCCCATGCAATTTCGAATTTGAGTTGAAAACATCAACGAACCATCCAGACAAAGCGACAGCTTGACAAATGTGATGCAACCCTTCCTAACTTAGGCGCTGTTCTGTTGCCGCATTGGCTTTGCGGCAACAAACGCAAGCACCAGCTGATGCTTCGTACGGTCTTCCATGAGGGGCCCCTCAATATGCCATTTCAAGGTCGCGTTCCGTAAAATAGGTTCGGGACCCTGAACTCCTTCTCGAACCTAACCAGCCAATCACGGGTGCGAGCATTTGGCGCCCAAACTATGTTTTTCGGAACCCTAAAAGTATGCCCAACCGACCACGCCTTTTTTGGGATGTATGTTACCTCCACACTTCCTCCTCGCGCTTTCCCCTGTCACCTACGCGCTCCCCCATCTCACCTCCTCGCATCCTCCTCGCGCTCTCATCTCCGCGCTCCCCCGTCTCACCTCCGCGCTTCCCCCGCGCGCTCCCTTCTCTCACCTCCGTGCTTCCCCCTGTCACCTCCGCGCTCCTCCTTCTCACCTCCGCGCTTCCCCCTCATCTCGGCACTTTCCCCTCACGCTTTCCCCCTCTCACATCCGCGCTTCCCCCTCTCACGTTCGCGCTTCCCCCCCTCACCTTCGCGCTTCCCCCTCTCACCTTCGCGCTTCCCCCTCGTCAACTTTGCGCTTCCCCCACTTCGCGCTCCCCCCTCTCACCGCTCTTCCCCCCCTCACCTCCGCGTTCCCCCTGTGCGCTTCCCCCTATGTGTGCTTTTCCCCTGTCCGCGCGATCCCCAACTTTGCATGCTACCCTTTCCCAAACCACTCTCTTTCTCCCCGTAGCCCAACCGCATTCTCCTTCCCGCCTCCAGCCTCCATAATCACTCTCCTTCCTCCTCTCCTCCTTCCCACGCACGCGCCGTCCTCTGGCAGAGCCAGGGCCTACCCGAAAGGCCGCGCCGTCACGTGCCAGGCCTCCCTCTTCCACCACGGCTCCCTCGCCTCACCTCGTTCTGCCCTCGCCCACCTGCCGCTGACTGACACCAGTGCACCTCTCCCTCCTGCCACATCTCCCTCCTGCCGCCTCTCCCTCCTGCCGCCTCTCCCTCCTGCCGCCTCTCCCTCCTGCCGCCTCTCCCTCCTGCCGCCTCTCCCTCCTGCCGCCTCTCCCTCCTGCCGCCTCTCCCTCCTGCCGCCTCTCTCCCACGGCTCTGCCCGCAGTGGCCAGCACGCAGCCCTGCGCCCTCTGTGTTGTGTGCTGCTGCCATGCCAGCCGCACGGCCTCGCCTGCACTCACTGCATGTGCCAAGCCTGGGGCCACCGTGTGCACGATACCTCCTGCTGCTGCTGGCGTGCCTGGCCGATCCTCCCGCCACACACGCACAGCCATTCGACCGCAACCAACTCAGAGGTGCGTCGCCTGCTGCGCTGCCACCCTGCCGCCCTGCCCGTGCCGCCCTGCCCGTGCCGCCCTGCCCGTGCCGCCCTGCCCGTGCCGCCCTGCCCCTGCCCCCCTGCCCCTGCCCCCTTGCCCCAGCTGCCCTGCCCCTGCCGCCCTGCCCCTGCCGCCCTGCCCCTGCCGCCCTGCCCCTGCCGCCCTGCCCCTGCCGCCCTGCCCCTGCCTCCCTGCCCCTGCGGACCTGTCTTCCATGTCTGCAATGTTGCGATAGGCTTTTTTTAGACAAGGCGCGAAGTGCATGTCAGTTGCTCTTCTTACGTTTGCTTTCCCCATGTGATGGCGGTTCCACCTCAGGCCTGTTAGACGTAGGACCAACATGAGCAAGGGGTCACCTCTCAGCGATGCACTCTGCAGACTTGAATTGGAAAGTAACAACCAGGTGTGTCACCCACGCTTTCCCTGAAGCCATAGACAATGCTAAGAGTATTTTGCTTTCTAAAACTGCTATCCTGCAGTTCGAATCACAATGATTAATTTATTTCGGAGTAACATACCTAGTTCCCGCCGTCCAGTTGAAGTCTGCAGAGTGCATCTTCAGAAGTGACCTCTTGCTCGCTTGAGCCCATGTCGCATACCTGCACACGTGCATAGCTTGCCAAATATATCAACACGCAGTCATTCCCATGCTTGCATAAGAACATTTCACCACGCGTATGCAAACACCCTGTGCCTCCCGTTAACGTTGTGACCGCACCTCTTTCCTCCTCTGCCCATGCCTGCCCTCCCCTCACCTGCAGACTGTGCTGACATCATGGCAGCGGGGGTGGCTCCCACTCCCTCCATCGCCACGCACATCCCAGATACCACCTTTCCCAATGCCACCTCCCCGGATGCCACCAGCAGCGGCAGCGGCGGCAACACAGCCAGGGAGTGGGGCCATCACATGCGGTACAGGAGGCGAGATGGGGAGTGCTGGAGCCGAGCTGAGATGGCGTGCTATGCCGGGCACGGGCGCACAGTGCATGCACAGGCACAGGCGCAGGCTCAGGTTCACGCACAGGGGCGATCAGGGGCAGAGGCAGAGTCAGAGGCGCTGGTGCGCAAGATGCACGAGTACCAGCGGTACCGGCGGGAGTGCCTCCACAGGGAGCCCCTGCAGCAGCTGCGCGCCACGCTGGTGGCGGGCAAGGCCAGTGAGTGCCGGTACCTGGTGTGGCAGCACAACCCCGACGGGCAAGGCAACCGCCTGCTCTCCCTCGTCTCCGCCTTCGCCCTCGCGCTGCTCTCCCGCCGCATCCTCCTCCTCGCCCGCCCCAACGGCCCCGCGGCGCTTCTCTGTGAGCCGTTCTCCGAGGCGGGCGAGGGGCCCGAGGGGTCGTGGGTGCTGTTTCCGGGGGAGGGCGTGGAGGAGGAGATGCAGGCGTGGAGCCTGTTCAGTGAGAGGGGCGTGGAGTGGAGCCAGGCGTGGCAGGCGTGCCAGCAGCAGCAGCAGCAGCAGCAGCAGCAGGGCCAGCAGCAGGGGCAGCAGCAGGGCCAGCAGCAGGGGCAGCAGGAGGGTCAGCAGGAGGTGGAGCAGCAGCAGGGGAAGAGGGATGGAGATGGTGTGGGTGGAGACACGAGGAGGCAGTTGCTGTCTGGAATACAGCAGCCTGTGGCTCCTCCTGATGCACCTGCTCCTGCTCCTGCCCCACCCGTTGTTCCCTTGCTTATACAGCCGTCCACACCCCCATCCCTGCCATCCCCTCTCAGCAATGCCTCCGATCAACTTCCACCACCGCTGCCACTGCCGCCGCTGCTATCAGTGGCTGCTGCTCCTGGCGTTGACAGCAGTGCGGAGGCACACGATGCAGAGTGCACCGTTCCACCCATGTACGTGAAGCAACTGTGCCTGCTGTACTACCCGCACTCATGCCGATTGCACTGTTTGCACTGGACGCGCTATTCCTCATTTCGTCTGCTGCATCCTGTGCACTCATGTCTTGTGCAACCTATTGTGCATTCCCGCTTTCTCTCTCCTCATTCTCTCCCCACACCCGCATCACTCGTCGCCCACCTCCCTCCCTCCTCCCCCTGCCCCCCTCCCTGTCAGACTGCGAGTGGATCTCTTCCACCACACGCCCCCACCAGGCCTTTTCTTCTTCTGTGACGCCCACCAGCGCTGGCTGGCACGTGCGCCCACGCTGCTGCTCTCGTCCAACCAGTACTTCCTGCCCGCGCTCTACCTCCTCCCCTCCTTCCGCCGCGCCCTGCTGCTGCTCTTCCCCACGCACCGACCGTTCCACTCGCTGGCCCGCGTGCTGCTCGTCCCCTGCAACCGCATCTGGGCACGCCTCACAGTGCGCTACCACGCGCTGCTTGCACCGCTGCCGGGAAGGGTGGGCGTGCAGGGGCGCTTCTTGCACAACTGGGACGCGCAGCGCGTGAGGGAGAGGACGCTGGTCCTGGGGCACTGCGCTGGGCAGGCGCTGAGCGGGCTGCTGGCCGCCCAGCCTGGGGATGCTGCCGTGGGTGGGGTGAGCCACGGCACTGATGGCACCGCTGATTCTTCCAGTGGTGCTGCTGCGGTGAGCGGTGCACAGACAGCAAAGGGAGTGGCAGCATCAGTGATGGTGGCGTCGCTCAATGCTCATTTCGCTCACAACCTCTCCCGCCTGCTGTCCAACCAGCTCGGACACCCCGTGCACGTGCGAGGGACTGTGGAGCCTGCTGGCAGCAGCAACAGCAGCCAAGACTCAACACAGGAAGGCCCCAGGGCAACCGACAGCAGCAGCAGCAGCACCAGCCCTGCGGAAGGTGGCACTTTGAGCAGCGAGAGCGGCAGGGACAGCAGCAGTGGTGGTACAAGGGCGGAGGTGGAGGTGGTGCAGCTGACGGAGGAGGAGCAGCAGGACAACAGCGACGGGCGCAACGTGGACGACGCCATCATCGACCTCTTCTCCCTCGCCCTCTTCTCCCACTCCCTCCTCCTCTCCCCCACCTCCACCTTCGGCTACCTCATTGCTGCCCTCGCCCCGCACACCCCGGCCCGCTTTGCCTCCTCCTCCTGCCCGCCTGCCCCACCAGAGCCGTGCTACCACCACCCCCCCACCCACGACCAGTGCCCTGACGGCCAGCCGCTGCTGCTGGAACGGGCCGTGGCTGCGGTGCCGCACCTGCCTCTCATGCGCTGTGCCGACCTCTCACTGGGGCTCGCTCTCAACACTGCCGCTGCTCCTGCTGATCATCCTGGCCAGTGGGCATGACAGGCTTTGGCGTTAGGCATTCTTGCCTCGGTGCGCACGTGCGGTTTGGGAGCGAACTTACGGTATTGACAGATGACAACTGATTGTCGTGTTGTTACGGTGCCCCACCCCACTCCCAGGACCACTACTGAAAGGGAATTTAATAAAATATACCGTAAGAAAACAGCACAGTTCCAGATTTTACACACACAACTCAACAAACAATCCTCAAGCAGGCATGCTGAACAGGTGCAATGGTTGGGAAGGCAAGTGATGAGATGTTGTAGTCTCCATTGAGTGGAAAAGAGAGGAGTCTGGATAGAGCGGAGTGTAGAAGAGGTCTCCATGAGGGGCGACTGCGTCCCCCCCTGTGCTGCTGCAGAAATGGATAGTCCACCGCTCTCCTACATGCATAAACCGGTATATTGTTCTGCAGGAGGCAGGCCCTCAGATTCGTTTTTGGCCTGTCTGATTCGTCAGACTAGTACACAGTTTTAGTCTGAAAATCTCAGACTTGGTATAGAAAAAAGGCTGAAATTTCAGAGTGTAAGTCTGATCATTCAAAATCAATGTATTCAATGTTTCATCAGACCTGTATTCAATGTTTCATTCGTCTGCTATCGAAACATGCTCTGACAGGGCAAGTATATGTGTCAAGGCGAATCTGCAATGTCAGGGCGATTTTGTTGTGATTGGGCGAAGATTGTTGTACTCTGACAGCGCAAATCTGTTGTGTCAGAGAAATTTTCCTTTGATTGGGCGAAAATCTAGTGCTGTAAGACTCGGATTTTCTGTGTCAGTGCGAATCTGCTGTGACCCGAAGTCCGAATCACCAGTCAAGGACGCGTTTGTACTCTGAATTATCAGAGTGCACTCTCAGAAAACTCTGAACTCTCAGAGTTAGCCTTTAAAAAAGTCTGAAAATTACAGAGTTGAGGCCCAAAAAAGTCTGATTTTATCAGAGTACACAAGAAAAAAAATCTGAAATATCAGAGAAAAAAGTCCAAATCAGAGAAAAAAGTCTGACTTCTGAGGGCCTGGCAGGAGGACTTTGCCTGCGCTTAAAATGTACGGGCCAGTCTTTCCTGGAAAATTCCTTTCGCACCCAATCCAAATTTGAAGCGTGGATGTTGCGACGAAGCTCCACACAGCCAAAATGCATCCCCGCGATTTGTTCCCGCGTAACTTGTGCGCTGATTGATGCTAGCTCTAGAGGGAAAATCAGCAGCGCACCAGTTGTGCGACCTTTTGCCTGGCGAAGAAACAGCTTTGAACCAGCAGACGGTTGAATTTCTATGCCCCAAAAGTGGGCCTTGTTCGGCAGGCGTTAAAAGGGCATTAATATCAGGCTCAGGGACCGGCTACAATAAAACGATACGGCAAGCGAGCGATCGGTTATAAAGGTTCGAGATAGGCGGATTGATGTCGAACCTGAGCGCGTTAAAATGCATGCCGAACAGCCCTTTTAACGCCTGCGTTTTTAGCAATACGATGGTTCCTGAAAACCGTTCCCCCTAGCAAAGTGACACACCATTGATCCGCTGCATGGTGCATGGCCGAGCGCTTACACCATGAGAGGGATTGTGAACGCTTGCGATTTGCCTTGCAAATGCAACGTCTAATTTCAACAAATGCAACGTCTCATTTCAGCTGGGTAGTACAAGATTTTTATGGTCCAAGTATTGTACAACATACGTGGGTGGGTATAGCTATCATGCATCTCATGCTAAGGTGGGGGGGCGGAAAACTTGAAATTGAAAGTTCGAAATGAAAACGTGGGTGAAGGCCAAATGGCCTTCGCCCCCTCTTTTATACCCAAAAAGAGGGGAAGTAGCGTTTCGCCGAAGCCTTTGCTTCGGTACAATTCGCTTCGCTGTTCATGTTAGAATGTTATTATCTAGCCTGTAGAGGGGTGCTCTATAGCGAGTACAACCCTGTTAGGGTTTGCTATATGTATCCAAACTACTGCTAGTGAAACCCCTCCTTTGTTCATTTCTCTCTTGCCTAGCTAGCTAACCCTAGCTATGACTCCTCACTGTGCTTACTATTGTAACATGCTATCAGAGCATCTACGCTCCTGGCCTGTGGGCCCACCTAACTGCTTCCGCTGCTACTCTGTGTGTTGCACGCCCCGTGGCGTGCGACGGATTTTTCTTCCCGCCGCGAGCTCGGAGCGTGCGGCGGTTTTCTGCCCGCCGTGCACCCCGAGGCGCGCGGCGGTTTTCTGCCCGCCATGCGCCCCAGGGCGTGCGGCGGTTCTCTGCTTGCCGTGCGCCCCGAGGCGCGCGGCGGCTTTCTGCCCTGTCGGTCCGCACGTCGCCCCCGGGGGGCGTTTCGACGGGCGACGGGGACCAGCCCGTCGTCCCCCGTCGCCCGTCCCGGCCAGCGCGGGCTGCGCTAGTCCCGAGCGCGGCCCGTACGGGCTGCGCCCGGCCCGCACGCGGCCCGTACGGGCTGCGCCAGGCCCGCGCGCGGCCCGTACGGGCTGCGCCAGGCCCGCGCACGGCCCGTACGGGCTGCGCCAGGCCCGCGCGCGGCTCGGGCCGCCTGCGCGCGGTTCGTCGGGCTGTGTCAGGCCCGTGGGTGGCCCGTTCCTCTCTACCCCTGAGCTGCTCGCTGTCCCCCGTGCTTCTGACGGTGCCCCACCCCTGCTGCTGCCCGTTCTCCTGAATAAGGGTTTGGGGGTATGGGGGTGCACTTTCTGTGCGCCGTTCCACTACTCCTCCTCCTCCGTCTCCCGCTGCTGCAGCTGCCGCTCAGGGGGGTGGGTGTGTGGGAGCCGAAGGAGTGGTGCTAGGAGGGTGACGTGGGAGTGGAGTTAGGGGTTCAGCAGGGGGTGTGTGTCAAGGGTGTGGGTCAGTTGGAGGAGGTTGTGTGGAGGTAGCTGTCGTGTCGCCTACAGCGCCTGAAGTCCGTCGCCCTTGCTTCGGTAGCCAGTGAGCCTGTTGCACCAATCGCCAGTGGGTCCGTTGCTCCTACCGCTCATCTTAGCCGCGGAGCCAGTCACTCCAGTAGTCCGTCGCCCTTGCTTCGGTAGCCACTGAGTCAGCCGCTCCTGTGCCCGTGCCTCTACAGCTTCAGACGTTGCCTCCCATCTTCTCTCCTTCCACAGTTCCTCCTCCTCCTCACTTGCCCTCTGTGATAGCCTCTAGCTTTGCTTACATTTGTGAGCCTGCTCTATGACTGCGTGCTCTGCTGATTACACCCCACTTTGGCTATGGGGGTGTGTCATAATGTTATTATCTAGCCTGTAGTGGGGTGCTCTATAGCGAGTACAACCCTGCTAGGGTTTGCTGTATGTATCCAAACTGTTGCTTGTGAAACCCCTCCTTTGTTCATTTCTCTCTTGCCTAGCTAGCTAACCCTAGCTATGGCTCCTCACTGTGCTTACTATTGTAACAGTTCACAATACACAATTTTGGAAAATGTTTCACTTTTTAAATTTTACATATTGTGAACGCTTGCGACTTTCCTTGCAAATGGAACGTCTCATTTCAACTGGGTCTTCTGAGACATGGGGAGAGAAAGTTGGTGTCAGAATCCCAGCCACTAACCACTGGGATAAAAGAGCTTGTTCGTGTAACGGGTTAGTGCGCCCATAACCCCCGAGGACAACGTGCCTGTAACCCTTCCCTAGAATCAATCGGGGAACACCAATGGACCTCTGACAGTTGGCGGTGCCTCGTAATGGCGCGATGATGCTGGGAGGTTGACGTGCACAAGCTTCGTCTTGGATGTTGCGAGATGCTGCGATAAGGTGATCCTGCGAGAGGGTCACGTATATATCCTTTGCTGTCTCGCTTCGCCTGTGCCCGAGCTGTTTGAAGATGCGATCCGGGACTCCCACACTAGCTGCAACCGTGGCTGCGCCTTTGCAAAAGGAGTGGGTGCCAAGGTGTGTTGAATCGATGCCTGCGGCTTCAAACGCTTGCATACACCATGTGCGGATTGTAGTTTAAGATGGAGCAGTGTCCTTTGATGATGGCGGTGAGGATCCGCGGAAAACGCGTATCAGTGGCTCTGTGGTGGTCGGCCCGTAGTCTGATAGCCAAATGAAATGGCGGGTGCTGTTATACTATAATGCTGCTTATATTGTGTAGGCTGTAGTGGGGTAGCCTACATGGGTTACAACCCAATTAGGGTTAGTACTTGTACCCAGTTTGATCTCAATGCAATCATTCCCGCTCATCAGATTCTGACATGGTTTCAGAGCAATAGGTCCGTAGGACCGTTTTTTTTTTTTCGGGCCCACCATTAGTTAGTGACCGACTGCGGTTACCGCGCTACCCCATGCCCTGACATGCGCTGCACAGTCAGCGCGCGCCCTGCCCTGCCCTGCCTAGTGTCATATTGCCTCTGCACGACTTGCACTGCGTCGCGCTGCCCCGCGCACGCCCTGCTCTGCCCTGCGCACGCCCTGCTTTGCCCCGCGTCGCGCTGTCCGGCGCACGCCCTGCTCTGCCCCGCGTCACGCTCCCCCGCGCACGCCGTTCCCTGCCCCGCGTCGCACTGCCCCGCACACGCCTGCCCTGCCCCGCGTCGTGCTGCCCCGCGCACGCCCTGCCCTGCCCCACGTCGTGCTGCCCCGCGCACGCCCTGCCCTGCCCCGTGTTGCGCTGCCCTGCGCACGCCCTGCTCTGCCCCGCGTCGCGCTGCCCCGCGCACGCCCTGCCCTGCCTCGCGTCGCGCGCCCCTGCAGCACGTCGCGTCACGCGCCCCTGCTGCCCGTCGCGCCGCACGCCCCTGCAGCCCGTCGCGTCGCCCGTCGGCCCTACTCGTGCCTGTCGCGTCGTCAGAGCGGGCTTCCCCAGCCCGCCGCGACACCCGTCCGCCCTGCTTGCCTGCGCACTGCCCCTGCTCGCCCCGCGTCGCGCCGCGCCGTGCACGCTGCCCACGCGCAGACTCTTGCAGCCCGCGCGCGCCTGTCTGCAGCCCGCGAACCGCCCCTGCAGCCAGCGCGCTTGCCTCTTGCAGCCCGCGCACTGCCCCTGCAGCCCATGAGCCACCCCTGCAGCCCGCGC